AAATTAAGAGGGAATTTTATTTTAAAACACTTCTTTATCCTTTTTCTCCTTTCCAATATGTATTGCAATTTTTTTATTTTGTTTGCTCAAAAAGTATGCAATACCTATTTCTACAACTATTTTACTAAAATTTATATATTTTTAATTAAAAAAAAATTAATTTAGTTTTTTTTATCTATGTTTTATTATTTAGTTATCTACGTAATTATTGTTTTTTTTCTATTTGACAGTGGAATATTTAGTATAATATTATACATATATTGTATAATTTATTTTATAATATTATTATCATTAGTTTACTACAATATATTGCATAAATTTAATATACAATATTATGTTACATTAGTAAAGTTAGGTAAGGCGATAATTTAATCCGACATGTGCAGTAGATTAAATTCTAACAATATTATTAGTTAATTTTTGCACGCTTATATCAAATCAATTGATATTCATTATTCAAGATTAAAAAGAAACAGTTACATCTACATGTAATTCATTTAGTCTATTCATATTTATTATCAAATCTATTGATATTCATTAATCAAGATTAATTATAAAATATGCTAACATACGTATTTGGATTATACTTTTACAATTTACTGCTTATAATATATGTATAAGCTATATTTATACCTTTAAAATATACATAGATACTCCCTATTTACCGTTTAATTTACTACTTATAATTGATGTTCTAATTGATAAATATTCAAATATTTTTTACCATATATAATTATCATAAATAAATAACATTACTTTTTTAATCTAGTACTGCAATTAATATCTTGTTTATATATGTCTCTTAAATATAATGAACAAATATTTTATACTACTCTATATTTATTATATAAGACTACTTTTTAATCTAGTGCCTATAATTGATATGCATGTTTAATTATATTAATTATTAAACTATCCCCTTACCAAAGTTTCTTATTTATAATCGAGTATATATTTTTAAATTTTATAACACATTTTATTTAAAATTTCTATTATATTTAAAACACTAAAAATTAAAAACTATACAATTAAATATACAATTTCATAATTGAGTTCCCAAAAAGGAACCATAATTATGTCTAAAAATTTCTATTTGAAATTGTTAGCACATGTATAGTTATTCGGCTTCGTTTGAAAAAAGTCGGATTTTATTGCATAGATTTTTAAAAACTTAAATGTTAAAGGCGAGAAATGGCTGTTTAAGTCACTATGAGTAAAAAGGAAGTTGTTAAAATTTTTGTTATTGTATTATTTATCTTTTTTGTTTCTGCCTGTGTTAGTAGATTGATATTTATGTTAGAGGGGAGTGAAGAGACTCATGTGTAGTCCCATATTAGTGATTTTCCGAGAGCCCAAGGTATGGTTGTCCTACCATCATGACTTAAACCATCTTGCTGTATAGCGATTGTGTCCCCCTTGACTAAATATACTATTAAGGCCATGCCTACCCTTTGAATCGACGGGTGATTTACATTTGATGCAAGCATTGGGCTGTACGATATCGCAGCCTAGACGTAAACTAATGACTACTCTCAGTTGTTCGTCTGATAAGATTACCAAGATTACGACTGGGGAGTGATTCTAACCATTCATGACCACCAAAGTCTGTCAGATGATTGAAGGAGTTGAATGCAATCTATAGGTGGATTTATCGGTTTGGTATTTCGAAATTAAAGATGTGAAAAATTTTTTGTGCTTGATGATTGATGGTATATGAGTGTTAATGGGTATTTTTTGTTAATCTGGATGATAAAAATTATGATAAGGATAAAAGATTGAGTGGCAAAAAGTCTAAACAGCCTAATTTAGAAGGTAACTAGGCTAATGATCAATTGAATGGTTTTATGTTTTAAATTTTTTCTAGCAATATTTTAAATTTTCTGAATTGATATGAATTCTTTATGATCAGAAAATGTTTAAAAATTTTGGTATATAAGCATTTGCGTGTTAAAAATAAACTTTGGTGTGCCGGTAGATGGCATAGAAGTTGCTCCATGATGGAAATTTTCGGACTTGGTTGCATTAACTAATGGGGACCCTAGCAGGGTTAAACTATAAGGGAGAAATGATTTTTAGCCTTCCAAATTTGGTGGCTTATTGTTTAAAAAACATAATTCAGTTTTATTTATGTTAAGTTTGAGGCCTGTAGCTTGGGAATTGGTTTCCACGTATTATAAAGCACAAATACATTAGCTGAGTGGCCACGGATGGTCCCATCATCTAAATACCCAAAGATTAAGGTCTAGGTTAAAATTTAGTTTAATTTGTTAAATGAGTTTATGGATTCCAAAGCAAAAAAGAGGATCTAATGGATTCCCTTGTTGTATGCCTTCTTGGGACATAATCTGAAAAGTCCATATGTCAAAGGCATTTGAAAGCCATATGAGGATTCAATAAATTTAGAGTAACAGGGAAAGGTTTATAGAAGACTTTTTAAAAAGAGGTACGATATAGGCTATTAAAGGCGTTTTCAAATCTAGTCTACATATTAATGAGTCTGGTGGCGAGGTTTCTTCTTAAAGATTGAATCGCAATTTTGCAGCCGCCCTTAATCCCGAAACCTAGATTATAAGAGTTTAAAATGTTGACAGCATCATGTTTGATACATTTGATTATGATTTTGGCTATTAATCTTCTAAAAAGGGAGCCTACTGCAATCGGGTGGGTACCACCATCTGGCTTGGATAGAGTGATTAGACGCGCTTCCAAAAAGCATTTGATGAGTTTTTATTGGGATATCCTTATTAAATATTAGGATCCGATATTGCACCGATATTTAGCGTTTTCCAAAAATATCGGATCGCACCGATACCTTAAAAAACCGATCCGATCTTTTTACTTTTCTTTTTTTTGTTATTTTATGTATATTTATTTTACATTAATAATATTTTCTAAATAATTTTTTTTAAAACAATGCAATTGCACAAAACCCCTTAAATTTTATTTATTTTTTAAAAAAGATTTATAGTATTTTAAAAGTTTTTTTATAAAAATAGAAAGGAACACCCAATGTTTTATTTATTTTAAATCTTTTTAAATAATAACACCAATTTTATTATTTACACTTTAAATAAAAGAAATTTTTTAAATATGGCATCTGAATTATGGAAATAATTATATAAAAGACAAAGATAATTTTGCAAAATGCGTTATCTGTGGAATTCTAATTTCACAGGTAAGAATAATGAAAAATTCATTTAATGGCTACCAATATCCGTAAGCGTTTTTTAATTATTTTAGAAATAAAAAAATTAAATTTAATACATAATTCGATTTTTTGCATAAAAAATATTAATTTCTTAATTAAATCTGGTTCAAAGGGGGATGGTGAAAAATCAATATAAATATTGGATCGGTTTTGAACCAATAATCGGATCGGATCAGTGAAAAATATGTGGATCGGCACAGCCCTATTAAATATGTTATTACAAAAGGTTGTTAAATCTTGATGACAGAACTATGGGAAGGGTTTTTTGAATTAATTTATTAAATAAAAAAAATTTGAATAGAAGTAACATTTATTAATAAATATAAAAGACACAAACTATTTTATTTTTTTAAAGCAAAAAAACATTTGCCAATTTGCACATCGTTATTTAAAAAACATTATTTGAAATAAAGCGTAAAACGTTCAATTTGTAAGCTCTATATCTATAAGAACAAATAAACTCGTAATAATTGCTTTAAAAAATTAAAAATATTCCGGAAATTAAAATTAAAACCAAAAAAAATTAGGCTAATAATTATTTAAAATTAAATACTAAGGAAAATATTTAAACTGTTATTCAGTTAGGTTCGAACTCTCGATTTGAGACAATCAACATGTAACTCTGAGTTAAGTTTGAATGATTGTAATGCATACACCTTTATCCATCAATAAATATGGTACCATCTCTATTCTCTGTTGTATTATGAATAAGATTATTTACTCGGTTCCGTCTTCCCCTTTTGAGCTTGATAAAAAATTTAAAAAATGGAAATTTACAATCATATTTACCTAGAAGAAATATTCTGTAGAATATTCTCTATTCTTATGAAGAAAATTTATTGTAACAATTTGGGATCCTATTATAGTATACCATTCAGAATCTATATTATTGAATTACTGTGACACTGATCCAAAATTTTTATTAAGATTCTCTCTTCTCCCGAATAATTTTTAATTGCTTTTATAATTATTATACCGTTTTCGGATGTCTCTCACAGATAAACAGGCGCATAATTTTTCAAAAACAATGGGCGGGCGGGCAGATTAAAAAATTTTAAAACAAGGGCGGGTTGTGGGTTAAGAATTCGCCCATTGCAGACTTCTAGTATGTATATCTCAGAAATGACACGAGATTGGGAGCTAATTTTTTATGCACAAGAAGATATAACATTGAAACTTCCTATATGACAAAAGAGAGCGGGCGATTTATAATTTGTTCAAAATTGGATAGATTTTGCATAGGCTTATTTTGTTTGCCGTTGCCAACCCCTCCTTAAAATATTTTTGCTTGATAACATATTTTTAAGTGTTATTAATATTCCAAGATGGTTATATATTAAAAAATATTTCTCAATCTTGCACCAATTTCGAAATATACACCTTTATAACTAGGTCATTTAAATATCGACAAAAAAATCGGCGCATTAATTTATATTTGTTTTATATACTTATACACATTTGCTAATAGGAGCGATTCCTCTCATCTTGGCTACAGGCTTATGTACCGCTCTCATTATAGCAAAAGAAAATTATATATATACGCTAAAATTATAAATTTAGAAAGTTACAAAATTGTCTGTTATTACTTATTTTTATCTTACAATATCACATAATCAATTTTTAATAAAAAATTTCCTTTATTGGTTGGTCAAATCAATTTTAATAAAAATTTTTTTTATTAAGTTATATATCCTTAAACAATATTCCCTATAAAAAACATTTAAAATTATAAGTATTTTTTAATTTCAATCCTGGAATATAATGTACCTATTATTATTGTATATTTTATTAGCCTTTGGATGAGAACGAAATGAAGCATCAGTTGTTACAACTAAATACCACTAAATATGAGGAGGAAACACTTCTAAAGGTTGGTTTATATTATATTTATTTATCGAATTTTATCCCAATTTTTAATATATAGCTTGGTATGGGCAATCTGGAATATTTTAAAAAATTTTTTAAAAAAGTTACCGCACTTAGTCAAAAAGCAGGGAAAAGTTATAAATGAATTCAGGGAAAAGTTATAAATGGATTATATTGTAAAAATATTATATCTCGTAAATTAATAAAACTTTAAGATAATATAAGAATAATACTATTCTTATATTTTATTAATTAATATTCTTATAAAATCATATCAACTAAATTGTATAATTAATAAAAAATATATACATTCTATATAAGAAAAAACCATAATTTTATTTAGAGAATTTTTTTAAAAAAAGAATTATGTGTATTATTTTTTCTTTCTTATAAATCTTTAACATTTTGTTATCACACCGACTTGAATAAAAGTATAGCTTCATTATCCACATAGAAATACATGAAATTCCCAGCCTCATGGGTCACAAAACTTCCAAAATTTTTGCCTACCACACAATGCCAAGTCGGGCTATGACGTCTAAAATATTATTTATTGATTAATTAAAAGATAAAGAAATAATTTTTTTGTAAGAATCTACCAATAAAATTTTTTAATCATCATTTTATGATTATAGTTATTTGGTCAGATCTTATAGCACCTTATTTGAACATTAATTAATTTATCTTTTATTAATTAATCACCGATTGATCAAGAAATTTATTATTCCTAACCTCCACGTTCACGTATTTTTTTCCTTATAATGCTTCTACTGTTGGGCTTGAAGAGCCTGACAATCAAATCATACTTGGGTTTTTAAATCCCATTCCTTCGGAATTATTATAATAGGTTGCGCATAATGGTAAATTAATAAATAAGGAAATATTTAAAATTTTTTGTAAAAATTTAAATTTTTCGTAAAAATTTAAATTTTTCAAATACGTTACCTATCCATATCTTCCTTTATGGCCCTGGCGATATCCTTTTCCTCTTTGTGCTTGCTCATGGCACTTTTGGCAAATTCTACAGCATCGTTTTGCATCAAGTCTGGCATATCAGCCGCCTTCAACTTGATTTTATGAGACATTTGTTTAGTTTATAAATTAAACAACCTGGATATCGATTAGTTTGAAAATAAATTATTATTTAGAATGAGTTATCTATGAAATCAAAAATCATTTTTTTTTTGAAAATTAGAAACAAAATTTTGAATAAAAAATTTACAAATCTGTGACGATTGTATTATGACAAAAAAATGAAGTTTTGTTAAAACTTATTAATACGAAGTTTTTTTTATAATACGAAGTTTTTTTTATATATAATTATTTACGTTATATATATAAGGAAGTGTTTGATTCATTAGCATGGCATCGTTGGGGAGGGGAAAAGTTGAGATCTAATATGAGCGAGTACTCTTAAAATTTTAATGACTTTTTTTGCACTTATGAACCAAAAAAATTAATTTTATTAGCGCGTTTAAAATAATAAACTAACTTATAAAATTTTACTTCTAAACGCTCAAAATCTTACATTTACATTAAACTTGGGATACCTGATCTAGGCCTCTGAAAAACGGGTCGGATAAATATAGATATTCATATTTGAAATGTAAAATCGAACATTCTTTTAATTATTCGTACTAATTGAAAATTTTATTAATTTGATTGATTTTAATTATAAACTAAAGTTTAATAAACGCTTAATTAGCATTGTCATTAATTGTTACTGATACTAATATTACTGCTCGTTATTGTTCAGGAACGGTTCATCTATCCTCGTTTTTCTTTTTTTTGGGGACGGTCGCGCGTTAGGGGCGGACCGTTTTTTAGAGTTTTGAGCGTGTCGGAATTTAATTATATATTAGTAAATTTGAGGGAACTTCCTTCAAATAAGTTGGACTATTTCGCTCGATCCGGCCAATTATTAGCACTATTTGACTCGGTTATATATATTTTTTTAAGCTCGGCGTTGATATTTAAAATTCATTTCGAATAATTTTCGTCAGGGTTAGCAAGTCGGTCAATTGACCAGAGGTGTATTTGATCTGGTCAAATACTCTAAAAAATCTGAAGAAAATAAAATTAATGTTAAAAAATATAAAAGAATATATAAATACATGTTATCACAATGCTACTTATTTATTGGGTCTCCAATATCAAGGGGGGCATCTTAATAGTAGTGAATTTATGTGTGTGATACAATACAAAAATTAGGCATTTTACAAGGTGGTGATGATCGAAATATTTCAAATGATATCATTCATATATATTTCAGAAGTAAAAGCAGCATATTTAACAGCAAATTATGTGGAAAGCAGTAACTTCCATAATTTTGTTAACAAAATTCCTAGTTCTACTTCTTCAGAAAGAAATTGGAAGATTGTTCCTTACTAAAACAGATCTCCACAACAGGAAAATTGATTAAAAAAATATTAAAGAAAATAACAATATTGAATAAGAATCAGAACAAAGACTGCCACGGAAGGCGAAACATTAGATATTGAATGATAATGAATTTAAAAAATAAAAAATTAGTATTATAGAATCATTTTACTATTATATACAAAATAAAGTTATTATTTTCTTAAAAAACATTTATTTGACTTTGACCAAATCGTATTTGATCGATTAAATACACAACCATAGCTGTATTTTATAAATAGTTTCAAAGATTTTAAATGATCCTTTATATGATTTTCTAACTAGAGCTCGTTGATAAAATATAAATTTATTTTAATAGGCCCGGTTCAGGTTTAGAAAATATTTTTGGGCCTGATCAGTTTCCCGGGTTTGTAATTTATTTTTAAGTTGAGTCCGGGTTTTTAGAATCATGAAAAGATAAAAATTATGTATAATACTATAAGATCAAAAAACAATAGAAATCTTCTATTTTTTGTAATTTTAATAAAAACGAGAAAATGTTTATATATTATGAAAATCCTTGAAACATTTAGTATGGAGCGTGATTTGACATGTTTGACACATATATTCAATATCTGCATCTACGTCTTTTTCCATCTATAATTTTGGATAAATAATTTCCAGATGATCAGTAGGGTTTTCGTTCTGTAATGCTAACTGGCTTGTGTGCCCTGTCCTTAAATTTTTTTCAATTTTTATTGGTGTTCAAAGGAAATAGTAACTTCTCTCCTAAATGCAAACAATCTCTTCTTCTCATCTCAATTCATGAATTTCCAAATTTTTCACTAATTTATCAAAGCTAGATCGATAAAATTGGTTAATATTGGCCACCGCCCTTTTTTTCCTCTCTTTATTCTATAGTAGATATGGGATTATCACACAGATAAACTCCACCCTTGTGTTTGTTATAAGCAGGGATCATATTTGTTTGAGGAATTTTTATTTTAGAATATTTTCTTGGAATACCTCGTCACCACCGTATTATAATTCCAAAGAACTATAAATATTTCGTTAAATTTTTCGAACCTATCATAATATCCTCTTTCTTTTTTTGTTAAAGCATTTATAGATTCAACTGGGCAATGCTCCATTTTATTATCTCTCACAGTTCCAGTTGTAAAATATCCCATTTGTTTTAAGTATGACAAAAGTTTAATTGAGGTATAGAAATTAACAAAATATATTTTATGATAATTTGCTTTTGTAAGGCCTAACTTTATAAATTCTATGATGTATATGTTTTTAGTATTGTGTCAAATGAATATTATATTTCAAATTTAGTATTCTAATTGAGTCATTGTATTCCGGATCATTGGAATAAAAATATCACTATTATTAGACCAAAACATCTTTTACTGTGGGAACGAATGATATCCAGTAAATAATAGAATTCTAATAAATCTCGTAGTATCTTGAATGGTTATACATTATTAGACCTATTCATTTGTTTTGCATAAATATTACTTTGATCTACAATTAAGGAATATAAGTCTTTGCCGAAAATTAAAAAATATATCTGATGGATTTTTACCATGCAAATTGTCTTCAAGTATTATTATATCTTCATTTTCCCCATTGAAAGGGATTGTAGAATATAACGTGTCTGTTTTTTCCATTTTAAATGGCGAGAAATTACAGAATAGCCTTATAGCAGATGGTTCTGGAATGTCGTCATCAATTGAAGCTTTAATTCCCCAACAATATTTGAAGGTAAAACTGTCATTTGTTAAGTCATTTCTTTTTTAACTCTGATACGATAAATTTTAAACTACAAGAACTACACTTTATTTTTCATCTAATAAATTCCAAGAGTATAATCATAAAAATCAATATCTTTTTACAATCAATAAAAATAATAATATTTGATTGACATTCTTCTAAATATAATCCTATATATCTAAATATTAATATTTTATTATTTACAACATGTCCAGGTCCACCCAAAAAAGGCCAAGGACATGTGCACTAAATAAATGAAAATAAATGTATAAAATGAATGTACTAAAAATTTACCACAATAAAATTTTTAATCATTTTGTCTTAATAATTTAATTTCTTTCATCTCGGCATCGGTGTATTCCTCTCCATTCTTGGTTGAGTCTCGAATTTCTTCCGGTTTCATAGAATAACTAGTATGGCCTACACCTGTAAGATCGAAATCACTTTTTTTCATGGACTTCTGTAAAGAATTCACTGGTCTATCTCTTGAATATAATCTATTTCCTTGATACGTCCTAGGCGGCCACACACGATTGCCATAATATTTAACTCGAGAATCCAATTCATTTACTTTATTATAATCTATCACTCCCAATTTTCCTTTTTTTGTCACATTATAATTATTTGAACAGCTCGGTTGATCCTCACCATCTTCCTCACTGTAAAATTTGGAAGTACACATTTTGTTTCTTAATAGGTACGCCGGTGTTTTACACTCAGCAAGTAAATGATCAGTACTTTGGCATCTAAAACACTTTCTGCCCGTATGAGATGGTTTCTTTATCTTCAAGTCTTTCACTGACTTTGGGATTATAATTGTTTTGAGGAAAAATGTTTCACAATCTATTAAGGGCAATTCCCTAATCATTTTTAAATCAACTTTTACAAAAAATATTTTTTGAAATGAAAAAAATATAAAAATTCTTTTTTTCTTATGAAAAAAAATATAATAAAAATTCTTTTAACATCATAATAAAACTTTATACCCCCCTTTTACTTTTAAAACAAATTTCAACTTTTGTTTTTACTAATTCACTATTTTATTTTTTCTTAAAACAAAAAATATATTCCTTTGTCTGTTTTGAATTAACCATCTTATTTCAATTCATAAACATTTTATTTGCTTCACAATTTAACTAAATTCATTAATAAACAATACTTCTGTTTTTATTTTACATTTTATTAATTAAAACGATTCTACACAGCTCGTTTTGTTTTTATCTTACATTTTATTTTTATCTTACAAATAACACACTTCTATAAACTTCTCTTCAACCAAGAAATTAATATATTTACCACGATCAATTTTTATCCATTTCTTTTTTTTAAAAAAGAAACTGATTATTTAACTTAAATCATTGGAAAAATTTATTAAGTCAAACCTCAACTTAAATCATCAGGAAAAATTGTGTAAGTAACGCCTCAACTTAAATAATCAGGAAAAATTGAGTAAGTCACAAATTAATTAAGAATCAACCAGATCACAATATCATGATAAATGGAGTAATAATCATTACTATAATATGCTAATTCTTATAATTAGACTAATATTCACATAATTCTAAATATACATTAATTTTATATCACATTAACTTCGGTTCCCCATTACTTCTAGAATAACTTAACATATTAATTTTATATCACATTAACTTAAATTTGAGAATACATTAATTTTGGAATACAATGTTTTTTTTTTTGAATAACCACAATTTTATAATACATTAATTTTTGGGAATAACATCAATCTGAAAATAACTAATAGTTTATCTACGTATTTTCAATTGATCATTATGACGGATTTCCTTAATTCCGTCTATAAACTTCACACGATTTAATTTGTTTCCTAAATTTTCTAAAATACAACCCTTTTCCCATTTTTTTTATTCTCTAAAATTCTAGCCCAAATCATTTGTCCCACAGGAAATTTTGTGTTGTTTTTATCACATGGTAATTTACTAACACTTCCCTTTGATTTAAGAAAATCTAAAGGTAATCT